TCTGTTGTATTCTTAAGAATGATTTTATTGGGTAAGGCCAAATGTGTTTCTGGAGAGAGTGACTCTGTAGTGTTTTGTTTGTTTCATTTTGTTTTGACTCAGTAGTTTTATAATGGCAAACTTGTAGTCTTTAAATTTTGTGTTATGGTCAATTTTTCAGAAACATTCCATAAAATGAATCTCATCTGTTTTCATCAGGAGGGTGGGCCCCTCCATGAAAAATCTACAGAAAAAGGTGAATTCAGGATGTAATGACAGTATATCATGTCAGGCCAGGAAGCCACCCAACCAGTCAGCTCCTCAGTTTCCTGATAAGCAAAGGGAGACCCTGGATCACACCATTGCTGTGGTAGTGCAGGAATCGAGCCTGCTTCTTCTGACCCCAATTTTGGTGCTATCTCTTCAGTATCTGGCTACAGTGTTTATGAAAAACAAAGAGTTTCCTCTCTCCTTCCCTGGGGATAATGATCAATGATTACAGTAGTATTGGAGCCTAGGTTTACAAATAATAATTCCTGCCGGGTGCGGTGGCATGCTCCTGTATTCCCAGCTACTCGGAAGGCTGAGGCAGGAGGATCCTTTGAGCCTAAGAGTTCAAGACCAGCCTAGGCAACATAGCAAGACCCCATCTCAAAAAACAAAAGAATAATTCCTGGAGAAGCATATTAATTTTGTTTTTCTTATGAGTTATTCTTAGTAGGATTTGAGTTGTTTTCAGTGATATAAAATTTTGAAATATACATGAGTCTGTATGGTCATAAGTAACAACTAAAGTGAAGTTTCTTATGCTAAGAAATTTATATAGACTTCCGTTCAATGGCTATAGCTATTTAGTTCTCCCCCCCCACCCCCCTTACCCCGCCCACCCAATTGTCAAGCAAAAGGGCTCTTCCAGAGGTTCATTGATGATTATGCCAAGGTCTTGGGGGCATTATTACTCCCACTTTTTACACTTGGCAGGACTCAAGGGTTTGCTTTATATCTTGACTACTACTGGAGAGAAGTAGTTAACAGGATTCAAATAATACTTAACAAGCTCAAAGTTTGCACTTAAGATCCTGGGCTCTGGAATTCACATTTCCTGTGTTGCACCACTTGTTGAATGGTCTTGAGGAGGTTATTTTACCTCAGTTTCCCCATTTGTAAAGTGAGATTTTATGTGCAGTCTTACCATGCTACAAGCATTCGCTGCATGTTAGCTGCTGCTGCTGCTGCTGCTGCTGTTTTCGTTGCTGTTACCGTTATTCCCAAGCCAAGCAGTTTTCCAGACCTGCCTTAGGAGTGGCTAGTAAGAAGGGATGTGGATTCTATTTCTAAATTTTAGTGAGAGGAAAGATGAGGAGAAAGGATCTACACCTACCACAGTACTGAAGGTGTCACTTCCTTTAAAAGAAAATTTTAGCTGACTGAATTGAAAATATTAATAACACAGCATTATTATTGTTAGCTGACTTTGGTGTGCTTGACTTCTCTCTTCCCTCCTTGTACCAATATGTTTCATCTACTAATGGGAATGTCGCACATGTGAACTTTCATGATCATTTCTAGAGAGGAGAGACCCGAGGGCTCAGCCACGGAATTAACCATGGAACCTGAAGGAGGCACCTTACCTGACCCGACGCCTGCTGGGACTTTCCTTAGGAGGCTGTCTTAACCTGTCTTTCACGGTGTTGATAGCAAGTGGAGTGTGGGAGAGAAAGCCAATTCAAAAGGCAGCTGCCAGGGAAGAGAGAAATGGTTAATAAAGTACTTTTTAGCCGTTTGAACTAGTTAATTGTGGAGTTATATCGCTGAGTGAGTTCTCTCCTTTCTGCTGACACTCTAAGGAGAAACTGGAAATGGACTGCATACCTATCATGTATGCGCTTGTCTCTAGCTTGCATCTGTTCATAAGCTAAAAGTGAAATCCACTTACAATTATTACCTGGAGGACTTTTAAAGGTTTTGAAGAAAATATGACTACAGTAGATCCTAGGACAAGCTCTTCTTGTCCTTGACAGTGACTCCAGAAGCTACCCTCACTTGCAAATCTATGTATCGAGACCCAGGGTATTCATTTGTTTATTTTGATCAGATGGCACTTTAAATATCAGAGCACTGAGAAGCCACACTGGCCCACTAGTAGAAGTTTGAGATTTTTTTTTTTTTTTTTTTTTATGAGACAGAGTCTCACTCTGTTGCCTAGGCTAGAGTTCTGTGGCATCAGCCTGGCTCACAGCAACCTCAAACTCCTGGGCTCAAGGGATCCTCCTGCCTCAGCCTCCGAGGTAGCTGGGACTACAGGCACGCGCCACCATGCCTGGCTAATTTTTTCTATATATTTTTAGCTGTCCAATTAATTTCTTTCTATTTTTGGTAGAGATGGGGGTCTCGCTCTTGCTCAGGCTGGTCTCGAACTCCTGAGCTCAAACAATCCGCTCGCCTCGGCCTCCCAGAGAGCTAGGATTACAGGCGTGAGCCACCGCGCCCAGCCACGCCCGGCCAGTTTGAGATGTTTTTTCCAAGCATACTTCAAGGGGGAAAAACTAGGATCTGGGTACATTGCTAAATTATAGGACATAATTTATAACAAAAGATTTAGCTTTTCTGTACTTTCTAAGCATTGCATTCTGAAGCAAAATTATGAGTATTTCTGCGTGTCTTCTATGTTCATTTTTCTTGCTTATCTACAAAATTTCAGCACCTGATTCATTTTCTCTTGGTTTAAATGCTTTAAGCCTAATATCATTTATTTAACAGTGTTCTTTATGTTTTCCAGGGATATCAGCATGAACAACATTACTCAGTTACCAGAAGACGCATTTAAGAACTTTCCTTTCCTAGAAGAGCTGTAAGTATTACTTTGAGAACATGTATGTGTATATGTTTTTTCCCCCATTCTCTTTGGGCGCTTTTACTGTAGAGATAATCAGTTCTGTTAGGGGACATTCAGATAGCTTAGTTTCAGTGGATTTTGTGTGGAAGAAATCATATCTTGATTTTTTTAAGGAGAGTAGTTGCCAGAGTTATTTTTGTAAGCCAGAACTAAAAAATGCTACTTCTATGGGACTTTTTTTTTTCTTTTTGCTGCAATTATTATGACCATGAATGCTGTGGTGACACAAGCTAATTACAGGGTTATCCTTAGATAACAAGGCTGCTGGATAATTACCATTGTTGCCAAGGAGTTGCTGTATGGGTAACAGAACCATAAAAAAATAACACAAGGTGTTTCAGGGTCTCGATGGAACAGACAACATCAATAGTGAGCCAGCAAGAAACTGAGTGTAGTTCCTCTTGGACATCTGCAGATGACCTTGGGAATGAGGTGAAGGCATAGAACATCGTCTAGGTCTCTAAGAGCACCTTTAAGAAGGTTTCTGAGCTTAGTCGCTTGTGGCTCACATTTCCAATTTAACAGTTTGCATTGTGGAAATATTTTTTTCTACTTGTTTTAACCTCCATTTTGTTGTGCTCTCCACATTTTTTTGAAGTCCATAATCAAAATAGGCACTTTTGGATTTTAAAGAAATTGGGAACTATATATTTTAAGAATCCCAGTGAAAAAATAAAAATCAGACTTGAGTCAAGTTAATATAGGCTTTTAAAAGCCAGGCTGATGGATTATGCAATACATAGAGGTAGGAAAGTGACAGATTGATGCTAAGAACATCAAAGAGATATAGCCCTGAAGGCGTCTTCAGATTGTGCCATACAGCCCAGCTGTTGAGTATTAGATGCAAGTCAGTGAATGTCTCCTATCTTAGCTCGGCCTCTCCCCTAGAATGAGGAACAGGAGTCAAATAAGATATACAGATTGCGCACTCTGCTTCTGACAGGGTATTGAAATAGCAGTTAAGGGCTTAATAAAGTTAAGGAGAAATTTTTCTTACTGCACTACTTAGTCGAACATAATGCTCCCACAGCAAAAATTGAACAGAGGTTATTTGCCACTTAGAAGTTTGTGAACTGGGTCAAATTACTTAACCTCTCTCTGCTCAGTTTCTTTGTCTGTAAGGTACAGATACTAATAATCCCTCCTTCATAGTATTTTAGAGAAGACAGAATAAATTAATATATGTTAAATGTTTAGGACAGTGCACGAAACCGAGTGAGTGTAAATAAATGTTAGGTGTTTATTTTACTGTTATAAAAGAGCATAAGGGGGAAAAAAGCAGTGGAATGTATACCAAATGTTATCTTTGGGTAAAAAGATTAAGTGTGTGTTTTATTTTATTTTTGCCTCTTATTTTTTATTCTGTAGTGAACATTAATTATTTTGAAATAGTTATTTTAAGTTAGTATTTTAAATAGAGTTAATTGAGTGAAGTGTGCATTTGAAGCTTCCACCTCTACCCCCCAATCAAGCCTTAAGATGACTTACCTCTTCTTTTTATTTCACATATCGTTTTAGACTTTAGGATTAGTCTCTCTTTACAGAAGTAATTATGCAATGAAAGGACATTAACGAGTGGTTGTTCAGCCTTTGTATAACCACTGTGGGATGTGTGATGCACCAGGCAGACAATGGTACATCTCATCCCTGTGCTCTACAGGGCCATTCTGTGCGGACCACTTTTGTTGGCGCCTTTAATTGCTGGTTATACTTTGAGGGATTTTGCAGTGAAGACCTGGAAGTGGAGTCAGACCTGGTTAATCTGCTTTGTGAAGTTCACATCTTAGATTTCTTAAAATCTCAAATGACCAAGCATTTGTCAACCTCATGAATTCTGTCAGCCAGGATTTTTTAATTGGAACCAAATTGAATTTGACGGCTAGTTAACTGTAGCGAGGTCATGTTCTCTCCATATTCTGCTGTCATGGTAATGAAGCCCATCAAATCAAGTCAGAACACCTTCTCCAAATGTTGTATGGGATTTCAAAAATGAATTCAGTTAGGAGAGCTGAGTGTTATTTTTAAAGAACACTTCAAAATAGTCTTTAATACTTTAGTAATACTGTAAGCATTCAAGGGAATTTTCCATGTTAATATAAACACTGTAAAAAGCCTATGTTTTTTCTTCATAGAGCAATGTGGTTGATTTTGACATTCTAAAATGATGCTGCCACGACTATTGTAATATTTCATAAACAGTGTAACCATTTGTCCAGAAGTCATCTGGAAGTCATTTATAAGTGATTGCGAAGCCAAATGCCCTGAGTAGAAATGATTTGCTGAAGGGTTTTTCCATGTTAGTTAATGAAGTGCAGTTTACAAGATGTGACTGGGTTTAGCCAGATTGGATATGGTGGTCTAGAATGCTTGGAGTATTGGGTGGAATCACTTTCCAACAATGTGGAAGAAGTGTTTATAGATATTTACACATTCACTTACTCTTTCAACAAACGCTGAATCCTACCCTATGCCAGGTCCTGTGGTGGGTACTAGGGATACAGACACAACCATGGCCCTGGTTTCAGGGTTGACAGACTCTCTAGAGCTGTGCTGTCCAGTACTCTAGCTACTAGACACAGATGGCTATTTAAATTTAGATTTAAAATAATTAAAATTAAATAAAATTAAAAATTCAGTTCCTTAGTTGAACTAGCCACATTTTAAGAGTGCAATAGCTACCTGTGGCCAGTGGGTACTGTATTACACAGTGCAGATATAGATCATTTCCATCATTGCAGCAAGTTCTATTGTACAATGTTGACCTAGAGGGAGAGACGAAACTATTAGATCATTTGCTATGAAATGTCCAATTTCGAATCAAAAGTTTAGTTTATTATATCTCAAACAAGAAGCGGTACAATCAATCAAAGTACGAACCTAAACTATCGACACAGTTTTGCCATCTTAAGGGTTGCTTGTTTATGCCAGTAGCAAAGAAGCCTAGAGAGCGAGTGGAGATGAAATTGCAAAAGGCCTTTTCCACACCTTGTTGAGAATGGAATATTTTTCCTTGCAAGAAGTGGTCCAAAGTCTGGGAGAAGTGGTAGTCAGTTGGTGCAAGGTCCAGTGAATATGGTGGATGACAGAGTTTCCAAGTCCAGCCTCTGTAGTTTGAGCAGTGTTGTTTGTGCGACATATGGTTAAGTGTTGTCTTGCAAGAGGGTTGGCCTGTCTCTATTGACCAATCTCGGCTGCTTAATCACAAGCATCCTCATTACTTCATCCAACTGGCTGCAGTAGACATCCACTGTAATCAATTGACCAGGGTTCATAAAGCTGTAGTGGATAATACCAGTGCTAGACCGCCAAATAGACACCTTTAAATTTTGACGAATATTCAGTTTTGGACTGTGTTTCGGCACTTCATCTTTATCCAACCATTGTGTCCAACACTTGAGATTGTCAAAAAGAATCAGTTTTTCATCACACATAATAATATGGTATAGAAATGATTTGCCTTTATGTCATGACAGCAAAGAAAGGAAAGCTTCTAGATGATTTCTCTTCTGACACTCATTTAATTCATGCAGTACCCATCTATCCAACTTCTTTACCTTGCCATTTGTTTCAAATGGTCCAATATTGCTGTTGGAATAGTAGCATCAAACCTCGCTGCTAATTCACACCTAGGTTAAGGTGGATTTGTTTCCACTACAGCTTTCGGCTCATCATTATCCACCATGGTGTCAGGTCACCCACATGGCTCATTTTCAAGATAAAAATCACCAGAACAGAACTCCTCAAACCATTGATGTCCTGTGTGTTCATTAGCCACATCCTTCCCAAACACTTACTTGATATTTTGAACCGTCTGCACAGCATTGGTTCCATGATGGAATTTGTATTCGAAAATAATGTGAATTGTTCACTTATACCTGGTTTCACAAAAATTGCTCTTAAAAAAACTTTGAAAGGTAATCACAAGCCAAACCATAAGTTGAAAGAATGAGGATGTACCTTCACGATAAAGATGAAACAAGAAGTGTCAGAGTGAAATGTCAGAGATATCAACTGCCAAACTTAGTACTTAAGGAAATTGGACATTTCATACTTAATAACCTATAATACTGGATGTGTCATAGTAAAGAAGCATGTGCAGGGAGCAGAAGCCTAAATAGTATATTTACTTAAGACTGTAGGATTTGGGAAAGGATTCCCGGAATAGCTTCCTGAGTCTTGAAGGACACATAGGAAGGAGGGTAGGTGAGGGTAGGTCGTGAGGGTACTCCAGGAAGAACTTCACAGCATGTGCAAAGGCCCAGAGGTAGAAATCTCAGAAGTTTAACAACACATGAAGGGGCTTGTTACGACAAGATTGAAGCTTAAATATAGAAAAACATCAGGAGATGAGGCCAGATCATGAAATCTTTTTAAGATAAGGAGTTATACTTTATTCTGAAGGACTTTAATTTGATGTGAGGATGAGTGATGGGGGAAGAGACTAGGATTTTTGCTCTGGATAACTAGATGCCATTTGCGGAAACTAGAAACACAGCCAACCTGTTGGGGGCCTGAAGGATTCAATCTTATAAAGATGTGATGGTAAATAGCATGAACTTTACAATGTACACAAATTTATTCCCATAACTCTGTAAGGAAGTCAGTCTCACAAAAGTAGAAGCTGAGCTGAAGAGGTTAAGGGCCTCGTTCAAGTTCATGGACCTGGTATGTTGTTTTGCTGGGACTTGAAGTCAGGCCTCTAGAGTCCTGTTCTTTCTGAAACACTGTAAGACGTGATATGTATTTATTTTCAGGGAAATATCCCATCCAACTTTTTTCAGTGAAATGTACTTTAAGTGCTAATCAGTTGTTTTATTTTTACATTTAACCTACTTTTGAAAGTTTTATAGCTTTTAAACATTGTTACCCAGTGATTCCACTCCCCACCCCTTTGAGTATACAAAAACATAGGTTCTGGCCCTAAATTCAATACATGCAAGGTTCTGAAATCTTGG